TTATTTAAAGTGTATAGAAAAGATTTCTGTGTTACGCTCCTATTGTTTTTACCAAAGAAAACAATCGAAATAATATTTCAAGTTTTTTTTGACGAGATTTTTAAATGCGTATTAATGCTGGAAATATGTTTTTATCTCTGTGTTGCAATGTTAGGTGAAACAACAAGTTTTTTGTCGCCAAAGAGGTATTATATTACATGAACTCCCCCTAATATTCCGGTTAGAATAATCAATAATGCGTATATTTCTACAGATTCAAAAGTAAATATAGATGTTTTTTTGTCTGTGTTTAGATTCAAATATCGAACCTTTTGTTACAGTCAGGTAGAACTCCAGTTTAAAATACGTGCTATTTTGTTAATTTGTATTATGTAAATTTATGATGCTCCCTGATAAAAAAAAGGTTTTATTTGTTTTCTTCGTTAAAAACGCAATAAACATGAATTCCCCTAATATTAAAGTTGGTTTTCGTTAGTAGACGAGGGTCAAAAAAAGAATATTTGTTTGTTTAGGCAATAAAGGAACATTTAAAAGTGGTTTTTTTGTCGATAAGAGGAGGGAATATTTGTTTTGGTTTTAAGTGGGTCGGCGACAGGCTGCAAGACGGAAGGGAAATTTTTGGCTAGATTCTTGTAAAATGTAACGAAGCAAAAGGAGTCGACATTTAAGTTCCAAGCGGGGCCGACATGTGAGAATGGAGTAAAAGATTTGAGAGAAAGTGATGAAGAACTGCTCGAAGGGAAAAGTCGTTTAATTGTGATGTGGTAAGCCGGCATTTAATTCGCCAAAAATGGTGGAATTTTCACTCTATGTAATATGTCGTTTTTGAAAGAGTGACCACTAACCACTGTTTTGATTTGGCTGAAGATTTATAATGTTTGAGCAGTGAACAAGTTTAGTTCCTGCTTTCTTTTCATTTTCTGAAAAATCCAGTTCCTTTCCAAGATGCCTTTTCACCTCACGTAGAATGATATTAGAGCAGTTTTGATTTGAATGTGCCAGTTTCAGCTTCCAATAAAGCTTTCCGTTGATGTGCAGTTAGATACCCCACAGAAATTAGCCAGTTGTTCAAAAGTTTAAGTTAACATGTGTGAACTGGGGTAACATTTACGTTATTAATTTTTAAAGTAAAAATAGACATTTTCTTTTAAAAAGACAAAATTTGCTTTCTTTTATAAATTATTTTTTAAATTATTTACTAGGAACCGTTTCGAAAAGTTTTGTAACCTTTTGTAAACAGATATGTAAGTTTTTTTCATTTGTATTTGACAGCTAATTTTATTTAATATGCCTTTGTATAAGCTGTATTTTTGAAAACTGTTTGGTGAGACAAAAATAAATGTTTAATTTGTTTCTGTGATCTATTTTGAGTTTTATTTGAAAAAGATATTTTTTTCTATATTTTTGATGTTATACAATTATTTCCCTAGTTACAACTAGTGGTTGTAATAGGTATAATTGGGCACCTCAAGTGGCGCCCTATATTAAATTTCTTGAGGTGTTTCCGTTTATTTTCATTCTGTTTGTCCCAAGAGATTTGTATAAGTACCCCTTTATTTCTTTTTTTTGTAGTTGCCCCAATCTAACCCCCAATATCTTCAACTTATCCATGACCCAGCTCTCCAACAACCAACTGAGTGCCGTATGCACTTGTTTCGATTATTTTGTTTGCCCAATCTTGTCCCCCCATATTCTTACCCTGTATTAAGCAAAATAGTCGTTACAATTTTCAGTTTTTATTAATCTACAAATCAACAGTCTATTGCATTTACCTTCATAAACACCTTGAGGATAGTTTTTTAATACGAAGTTCTCTACTATGTTTTCACGTGGCCATACAATGTTTTTTTGACAACTTTTTATGTAAGTAGTAAAAAACCAATGTGTTCTTTTTATATATTTAAATTTTAACTTACTTCTTTTAAAATATTGGTATTTTTCCTCTCTCTTTTAGTAAACTGATGATGGAATGAGTTTATTCCGAAAAGATCTTCTTTAAAATAAAAGTTTTAAGCTTTTAATAAGCATTTTTTATACCTTAATACACACGACCACCACGTGCTTTGTATTCAACAGGTATACTAGCCACTCCTGGATATATCCACTTCATGGTTTGTTCCAGTTTCACTTTTAAACTTAAAATGTTTCTCTGGACATTCTGCTAAAATTGAAGATTTTATGGTATGTATCGAATATTTGCGCTTCATTCCTTTGTTCATTTTATTATACATAATAAGCCAACAGTTATAAGAAAAAACAAATCATTAGTACTTTCATCCGAAGAACTAATATGGCTTATTATACGTGCAACTAGGCAACAGTACAATATAATGATCGTTCAATTTTCCGGTTGACAGTTGCGGTAATGCATGTATATTGTCGTACGGTCGTAGCATCCTCTCCGTTTTCCGGAGTATCTGGACGCTCAGCGACCGCCGCTTTCGAAGATGATCTCAGGTTACGAGGATCCATCTTCGTATAGGAGTTCTCTAGGATTGCGGCTTATTCGTTTGAGAAGCTCTGCCGAGTTTCTGTGATAGGTGAGGGGACACCGGCAATCGGAATTCTTACACAGTTCGATTCTTACAATGACAAATATATATGTTAGAATTCCGTTGTGTGGTGTATGCCTCAAATTGACAGAGATGCCGGCCTTCTTACTTTGAATCGCCGCGTTTCTTCTCCTTGAGAGAGGAACACGAAAACTGGTCATATTGGCTTTACAATAGCCCGTTGCTTTGTGCACCACCTTTCGCAACAAACAGTATTTCATATGTTTACTATTTCTACATAAGGTTAAAAGTGACGAAGCATCGTTATGGCTTGACTCTGATTGGTGAAAGCGATTGCATGTCTTCGTCAGGCCTTCTACTCGCTCTTTACCGTCGTTGTCCTGAAGATCGCCGATGTCAGTTCAACACAATGTGGAATAGTTATAAGACCACTGTCTTTCTATTCTAATAATATCGTCTTACTGACTGGAAGCGTTCTATAGCCAATACGCTGGTTCTCGTGCTCCGAAGTGTATTTGCAGGCAGTGAATGAAGTCTTCTTTGTATTCGACGTCTGGTTGTTGAAATAGGTATCTTCTAATATTCAATGTATACTTTACTATTATTCGACGTAGGGACGAGTTGGATATTTGGATTAATAATGAAACAACAGTGTTACTAGGTAGCGTACCAGGCCAACAAGGTCTAATAGGGCTAGAAGTATGTGACTACTGAAGTCCCGATCGAAAGATGCGCTGCTCTTCTATATACATCGTGTTTGAAAATTCGCAGCGCTCTTCCGCCGAGAGGCCAATGACAGCGAAGTTAATAACGAGCGCTGTGATTGGCCGGCCAAAGTAACAATCTTTGTCGAGATTGGTTGCTCTGGCGACAATATTTTGAACTGCTTCTTTGCTGAATCAGCGGCTGACTCGTTTTTCATCTTAGTTCTAATCACAAATAATGTAAGATTGCTACCTAAGACTATATTATAATTGCCAATAAGACCTGCAATTATAATAGATAAAATCATAATAGTTAGTACATACAAATTACCAAACGCAATATAGCCACCAGACGTATTTCCTTCATTCCCGTATCCATCAATATACATTGGAGACGTCAATAGTCATCACACCGCATTAAGCTAGAAGCAGTGCAACCTTCAAGGCAAAGAAGTAATTTATTGGGTCGAGATCAAGCATTTTAGAGTTTTACACGGTGCAAAACAGAAGTCTTTCTTTTGTAGCTAAATGTCAAAAAGCCTATAACCTAGATCTAACATTTATATCCACCAGAGACGATTGCCCCAATCATGCCACCAGAGAAATTCTTGATAATTTTGAAAAATCACAGTTAAAGCCAGAAATAACAACTATGGGCATTACTAATCCCATCATAGACTAAATTTTATTGTATGCATAGATAGGACTTTCGTAATGTACACTGGGATAAGTATCAAGCTTACTCGGAAGACGGTATGTCATATCAAGCCTATAATATAATTTTAATCAGCTGTGCTAAGAAACCTATTCCACGCTCTAACCAAATCCTACATTCCATGCAGGACCAAAGAATGTAGAGACCTGTATAATCAATACGAGCAAACCAGATACCCCAGAGGTAGGTAAACAACCTCTAGAGTCTCTGAATTCTATAAAAATTACCAGGCTAAGGAAAATTCTCAAAAATCTTAACTCAATTTTTATCATCAAACCCAGAAGATAAACTGAAACGCCTTTTCCGGCTCTCCAAACCAATCATAGTAAAAGTTCATAAAAAACGTACGATATCAGCTTAGCTCCGTGTACTAAATAAACTAATGACGTCGGTTACGATGACGCTTACAGATAATAAATGAAGAACGTGTGTAGGTGGAAATATTTAGAAATGATTACGAATAATTGAAGTAAGACAAGGAGGGGCACTTTCTGCCATAATTTTTAACCTTATACAGGAAAAAGTGATGTGACAAATTAAGGATTTACAGAGTGGTATTCGGTCCAGTTATCCAAGTTATAAGAAAGAATGAAGGTGAACTATCTAGAGAGAAGGAAAATGCTATTGAGAAGCTGACCTGGTAGATAACACTACAATAGCCGGGCTATGATGGACGGACTATAAAGAAAGAATACCACAACTCTATCGGGCAACTCCAGGCAAGGCTTAGAAGATGGCAAATATCAGTTCCAGATTTATCTATATAGATAGATCAGAAATAAGTATGGAAACTCAAGAATCTCTACTCAGTTTTATTTTGCGTTTACTACATATTAATAATTGACCACTCACCCCAATAATAATTAACTAAAACAAAATTTTTATTTTCTACTCCAAAATCTGAATATATATATATATATATATATATATATATATATATATATATATATATATATATATATATATATATATATATATACATACTACCAATATGTAATGAATCCCTCTGTATATAAACTTTTTAAGTAATGCCGCTTCTTATATAAAAGTAACCGTCAGTTTATTCTTCCTAGATTCATTTAAAATGAAATACATTGTTTTGACTTTTTTAATCTGTTATTTGAGTGGTTTTCATTCTGCTCAACAAGTGGGTGATAAAAAAGGTATGTTAAGCAAATATATTAGTTTATGTTGTCAATTAGTGTTCACTATGTATATATTATATATATATTATATATATATTATATATATATATATATATATATATATATATATTTTATATATATATATATATATATATATGTATATTATATATAGTATATATATATATATATATATATATATATATATATATATATATATATATATATATATATATATATACTTGACAAATTATTCTACTCTAACACATAAGAAAAAGACAATTACAAAGTTTAAAAAGGCCACATGTGCCGGCCAACTGTAGAATGTTAGGTTAAGAGTAACTGTCATTCCTGGACATGGCAAATGACAGTACTTCTTATTTCTTTGTCTTATGTAGTACAACTACTATTACACAAACAAAGGTTGTGTTTAAGTTGAAAAACAAAATTGTATAATGAGAGTATAAAACTATGAGAAATAACGAAACCTGGAATCTTTACAATGAATCAGTTGTTGAAACATCATTGAATTGTGAATGTGTATCCAAATATAATAGGTAGGAGTAAATAGTGCTTAACTGATTATTGTCACTCCTTTTGTTCATTGCGTTTGAAGTTTGAGCAATGAATGAAATTTCTAAGAAAAGTCTTTTTTGTAATTGGATTCAGTAGCTAAAATTTTGACTGATTCATATTTCATTATATGATGTTTGATGTTCTTTATTAACATGTTCTGCAAGGGCAGATCTTTCTGGATATAGTCTGCTGTCGCTACGATGACTGATGAAGCGACTACCTAGGTTGCGTGTGGTTTGTCCCACATATACCAAATTACAGTTATTGTAAGGGATCTGGTAAACTACGTTGGAACAATCTTTGATGTCACTTTTATCTTTAACTTTAGAATATATAGATCTTGCAGTTAATGAAGTTTTAAAGGCTATTTTTAAATTGGTAAAATCTTTAAAAAGTCTTGTCAGTCTGGGTGTTATGGCTTTTACCATATGCTTTTATGCCGCTTGTGACAATAATTTGCACCTCATCATTTTGGCGTGCTATGTTCGGGGTCAAACTGAATAAAATCTTGGTGACGAGGTGTTTTGGGTATGAATTGTCGATGAAAAGGTTAGACAGGATTCTCAGGTTCTTCTGATGGAAAGAAGGATCACTGATAGCTATAATTCTAGCCTTCATTTGCTTAAGCAAATTGATTTTAATTGAATGTCTATGATAATTTTTAAAGATTTTACCAATTTAAAAATAACCTTTAAAACTTCATTAACTGCAAGATCTATATATTCTAAAGTTAAAGATAAAAGTTACATCAAAGATTATTCCAACGTAGTTTACCAGATCCCTTGCAATAACTGTAATTTGGTATATGTGAGACAAACCACACGCAACCTAGGTAGTCGCTTAATCAGTCATCGTAGCGACAGCCGACTATATCCAGAAAGATCTGCCCTTGCAGAACATGTTAATAAATAACATCATATAAGGAATTATGAATTAGTCAAAATTTTAGCTACTGAATCCAATTAAAAAAAAGACTTTTCTTAGAAATGGCATTCATTGCTCAAAATTCAAACGCAATGAACAAAAGGAGTGGCATTAATCAGTTAAGCACTATTTATTCCTACCTATTATATTTGGATACACATTCAATGATGTTTCAATAATTGATTAATTGTAAAGTTTCCAGGTTTCGTTATTTCTTATAGTTTTCATTACACAATTTTGTTTTTCAACTTAAACACAACCTTTGTTAAATTTTAATGTGTAATAGTAGTAGTACTACATAAGACAAACAAATAAGAAGAAGTACTGTCATTTGCCATGTCCAGAAATGACAGTTACTCTTAACCTCACATTCTACAGTTGGCCAGCACACGTGGCCTTTTTAAACTTTGTAATTTTCTTTTTCTTATGTGGTAGAGTAGAATAATTTGTCAAGTTTAGTCTTTTACACCATGCAATTTTTATATATTTTAATTATTGACTCAATCAATGAGTGGTGCGTGAATTTGTCACCTGTGAGTAGAACATCCACGAAAGACAAACCTCAATAACGTAAGTGTTTTCGTTTTTTTCTCTTTTTACAACCTTTTCACTCTAATAGATTTCGAGGATGCTTTACTAACAGCAGCACTTTATTTTCAGTTTTTCCTGATGATGAAAATAACATTTTCGAAAGCTTGAAACTTGGTTAAAAGAGTACACTTATTTCACCGCTGAAAATCCCAATAAACCTGAAAGCTATATATATATATATATATATATATATATATATATATATATATATATATATATATATATATATATATATATATATATATATATAAATAAGGATCACTCAGACGAGTGGTGGGTTCAATTATCGGTCAACTAGGTGGAGAAATAAAAGCCGAAGTTGATACTACTTCATCTATTTTGAAGACGTTTCGCTATCGAATTCTGATAGCATCATCAGTTCATCTAAAAATTTTTACATTATGAGTACCACACATTCATGAAGAAGATGTTAAATAGTTACCTGAAAAAAGATATGTAGTTGTCAATGGTATTAAAAAGGTAGTACAAAAACTCAAATAAATGGACATCATATGGTGATATTGTATAAACAATTAAATAACTAACAACATTTAGAGACTTAGTAAAAATAAGCAAAGAAACAGAACACGTGGTCTAATAAGCATATATTATTTGAAATAATATATGCAATAAGAATGCTAAAAAAGAAATACAATAAGAGTATTCATCTATTTATTTTATTTATACGATGTCTTTATTACGTTTATTTATTATTACGATTATCTAATACAACTTTTTGTTACATGAAAAGAATGTAAACCTAACGAAGTAAATGCTTGCGCTCCATGTCCTTGCCCAGAACCAACCTGCCAAATTCCAAAACCGAAGTGCCCTACGGATGTTGCTTGTCTTCAAGCCTGTTTGCCATTCTGTGCGTGCAAAGAAGGCTTCCTAAGAGATAATTCGACTGGAATATGTGTACCCAAAGAAAAATGCAAATAGAGCAAATAGTGAAAAGTGAGGTTAAATGTGTTCTGTTTCCAAAATTTATGTTACTTCATTTTCCTAATATTGAGATTTGTTATTTAAGTTTTGAAATAGACACGGAAATATAACACATTGCAAATGATATACAAATGCAATTCGTACATTTTTAATATTTCTATCACTTAAGTATCAATATTACAAAATTGTTAATAAAAAGATTCACTGGTGTTTTCTTGTTTCATTAAATAATGCTTGTTGTTAATTTAGTGTGTTCTATATTTATATATATATATATATATATATATATATATATATATATATATATATATATAAAACCTAGAACTAAGATTAATATTATTACTAGTAATAATATTAAAATATTACGTAGTAATAATATTAATCTTAGCTCTAGGTTTTATTGTACTAACCGCGGAAATCTTTCCGAACATATATATATATATATATATATATATATATATATATATATATATATATATATATATAAGGGTTACACAAGCTAGAAGAACAATTGGCTGCCTAAATGGAATACTTTGGAGCTCTGAAATAGGAATAAAGCGAAAATATAACATCTATGAGTCACTAATTAAAAGCAGTCTACTTTATGGAGCAGAAACTTGGAGAATAACCGAGAACAACAGAAGAAAATTAGAAGCTGTAGAAATGGATGTGTTTAGAAGATCGTTAGGTATATCCCGCAGGGAAAGAGTTCGAAATGAGGAAGTAAGACGAAGAATTGGAATAGATGGTTACTTAACAACAGACATTGAGAGGAAACAGTTGATTTGGTATGGTCATGTTCAAAGAATGGAAGACACAAGACTACCCAAGAAGATTATGCAGTGGGTACCACCAAACCGCAAAAAACGAGGAAGACCCAAGAAGACATGAAAAGAAGGGATAACTAAAGCAATGAGTACAAGAGATCTTAGAGACGCCCAATGGGATGATAGAAGGACGTGGAAGTTAGGCATCGGACAACGTCGAAAGACGTTCTAAAACCGATATACATACATATATATATATATATATATATATATATATATATATATATATATATATATATATCTTCTTCTTTGAGTATCGTGCCCAAGTTTTAGGTGTGGGTAGCTTCCATGATGATTTGCATGTAATAATTCATCTGCTGGTAAGCTATTCCATTGCCAAAATTTTCGGAGTAATGAGTATTTCTTCCTACCAATTCCTCTGTTTCCGTCGACTATTACCTTCATCTTCACCTTGACCTACTCTGTTTACCACTTCTCTGTTTGAAATGTGTTGAACCCATGATATTCTTAGCATTCTACGAAATAACCCCATCCTGTTCTTCTAATTTGTTCATCGTATTAACCTTCGTAATCCAGGTTTCACATCCTCACAGTAATACAGGATACACATAATATTTTAGGAACTTAATTCCTAAAGCTGTAAGTTCAGCTGAGAATTGTTCATAATAGTAAAAATGAGTAAAGGAACATTCATCTATAGCAACCATAGTTTTTTAATGATTATTAAAAATTATTAAACATATTCGTTTTCATACTATTCGTTTAATCAAATACAGGGTAAGTCAAAATGCAAGTACATTATTTTCTTGGTAATTTTAGATAGAACACCATGTATTTTATATCACTATCGAAATCTACTAATATCATACTTCAAATTTTTTAATTTACTCTCTATACCTAAAGTTGTCACTTTTCTAGATATTTTTATTTTTCCATCAAAGTATTAATTTGGTAGATATTTTAACGTTTACCAATAATTATTGTGAGTTGGCAATGATTGATTTGTCAGAAATTGATAGTTTGACATTATTGTTTAATAATTTAGTAACGAACTAACAACACAGAAAAGAAAACAATTTATTTCAAATAAAATTTATAAAAAATAACCGACGGCAAATTAAAAACAAATAACAACACATAGAAAAATAAAAAATAACAGTAATTTTAACTTATCTTACTTAAATAAGATGTTCAAAATAACCTACCAAAACATCTATGCATACTTGAAAGCGGCCATTGAAAGAGTTGCTTACATTGCTAAGCATTTGTAAAGAAATATTTTGAAATGCAATTCGGATTATATTTTTCATATCATCCCTTGTTGTTGGGAGTATTTTATATACTTCGTTCTTAACGTAACCCAAAAAAATGAGTCCATTTTATTGAATTCTGGTGACCTTGGGGGCCACCTTACCGGTCCATCCCTTCCGATCTATCTTTCACCAAACTGATCATTAAGTTCACCACGTACTAATTCGTTGTGGTGCGCAGAAGCACCGTCATGTAGAAATCACATTTGTTCACGTATATTAAGTGGAACCTCTTCTTATAATATCCGTAACTGATTTACGATAAAATCTAAATAAATCTCACCATTTAAATTATCTTCAAAAAAATATGGTCCTACTGCATATGGTATGGTTACCGACGATACCCACATTTAGAGACCATCTTGTTTGACTATGTGTTACTATGTGGTATGGATTGCTTGTTGAGTAGTAGTGAAAGTTATGCCTATTAACAGAACCGTTTCGATGGAATGTAGCTTCATCACCAAATAGGACAGAATCAAAAAAATCTGTCTGCTCATTAATTTTTTCTAAGGCCCATTCACAAAATACTATTCGTTTCTGAAAATCATCATTAATTAATTCTTGGTGCTTTTAAATATAATGAGGGTGCATCTTGTTTTTGAATAGAATGTTTTGAACAGAGTAGTAACTAAGTTCTTGTTCATTGGAAATAGTCCTTATACTTGTATGTGGATTTTCTGTAACTGCCATCAGTACACACAGTACACTCGTTTATATAAAGGTGATAATAATGAATTTTTATTGCATTCCCTCAATATACAGATAATATATCTAGGTACCATTTCATCAGTAGTAAAATTCATTATTCCTAATTTAAATTGAATTAAAAACTGAATTACTAAATATTAATTGTTCATAATTTACGGTGTACCCCAATACTGAATTAATATTATTGTCAAACTGTCAGTTTCTGACAAATCAATCATGGCCAACTCACAATAATTATTGGTAAACGTTAAAATATCTACCAAATTAATACTGTGATGGAAAAATAAAAATATTCAAAAAAATGGTAACTTTAGGTATAGGGAGTACTTTATAAAATTTGAAGTACGATATTATTACTGTTCGATAGTGATATAAAATACAAGGTGTTATATTTAAAATTACCAAGAAAATAATGTACTTGCATTTTGACTTACCCTGATTTGATATAACTAATATTATAAAAACGAATATGTTTTATAATCTCTAACAATTATTAAAAAGCTATGGTTACAATAGATCAATGTTTCCATACTTTTGTTTAATTATACAGAGAGTTAAACTTGATACGATTTTCAGGTAATATTGGTTATAACTTTTTAAATACTCGGTATAACTTAATAAAACTTTACATTGTTGTGATGTGGAAGTGAAGCAGATTTCAAATTTAAAATAAAATACAGGGTGTTCCGTTTAAAAAACATAAGTTTGGTCTGCCACCATCTTATGGAACACTATAAGATCAGGAACACATCCTATAAGATTGTAACTAATTTTAAAATGTGGAGTTTAAAGCTGTCTACAATTTTTGTTAATAACTTTTTTTTGTAATTTTTAATATAACAGATCTACTGAGCTTCCTTAAACTAATCAATCACCCTGTATAATGTTAAAATTTTTGTAAATCGCTCTTCTCTAAACTAAGCAAAAGTGAGTTACAATCAGTTAAATTTGAATGGGTTTGTATTGGTGGTGCCATCTATGCTACAAAAGCATTCCTACAAGCGTTGTTGTGACACAGACACCTTTTACTCTCGAGAGGATTGTAGGAACCTATACAGAATAGTAGTTATAGCTATTCTTAGTAGATGTCACTAACAGTACTACTAATTTGCAAATATTTTCACAGGCAATGAACTCCTGTTTTTTTAGAAAGTGAAAGAAGCCTGTAAACGTGTATGCTAGACATCATGCTTGTTTACAGCAGTTTACGATGATATAACAGTAAAATACTGAATCGTTTATTTCGAAAGTAAGTACTAGAGTAGAGTCCTTGTAAAAACTTTCAGGTAATTTATAATTTTAATAGGTGAATAAGGTACAAATGATTACAGAAAAAATCTCAGATCAAATAATCAAATAGATAAATTATTAAATTTGCTACATTGGTCTATATTTCATTTTTTTCTACTAGGTACTGTTGTGTAGGAGGTGTATTTTTTGTTGGAATCACTTTAAACCGGCGACTGCGTGGTGAAATTGTGTGAAAAATGTGTGTATAATAACCGAAGTTTGGTATTATTAACCCCATTTAAAATTGATTTGAAAAACTAAACAAACATTTCGAACACGAATTTATTTTTTTAAATACCTTATTTGACTATCTAAGTTTTCATAAATAATATCAACTTTTACCACTGGATTAAATTTGACCGCGTTTTAGGTAAAATTTACAAAATAATAAAATTCCTACAAACAAAAATACTAGATGCATAAAAAATTAACAAACAAATGAGACGTTCAAAATTAGAGATTTTCCAAAAAAGTTTTTTCAAAAGGTTCAAATAAAATATAAAAAAGTAGGACATTGGATATCCAAGCTTGAAAAAAGTGAGAAGTCCTGGAACTGGATACATTCGTCGCAAATGCGATGAAGGTGATCTAAACAATAAAAATTTTGGCACTGATCGCACGTTCGTTTAGTTTTCCGGTCAGATTTTCTGGAACACTTTTGACACCGTCCACGTCCCGTATGTTGCTTTTTTGGCGGAGCTTGGTCACTTTCTTCCAAAACTTGAACTATTTTGGATCGTAAATGTTTTGTAAGTCGCGGATTACTTTTTCGTTCTTCCATAATTGGCGTAACTAATGCTTATCCCAGATCTTCTAGAAATATACGACGTTTCTTTAAATAGTCACTAGTGTTTGTCACAAAAAAGTAGAGGCATTTGAACTGTGGATGTATCGCAGAATCCTGAGAATATCTTGGACCGAGAGAGTCACAAATGTCGAGGTCTTGAGAAGAATGAATAAAGAAAAGGAAGTCATATTTACGATCAAAAAACGAAAACTTTAATACTTGGGACACATTACAAGAGGCGAAAGATATGAACTGCTTCAAATAATTATGCAAGGGAAAATAGCAGGA